AATCCTAAACACGTGCAGAATAGTTCGCAAATTCCTACAAGACGACGCGAATATTGAACCGAATCAATTAAATGAAACTCACTTGGCTTAGGCCCGTGGTTTCATTAAATTACCGACATTCCTTAAATGTCGAGAAAAACAAAAGTTTCACCACAATAATAATAAACAAATATTTCCGCAAACTTCAATATAAATTCGCAAACAATCAGATGGAAGCTTAGTGACATCATACGTGGCGTGATTTAGGCCGGGAGTCCGGGTATGATCGGCGCTGACCATCATTTGATCCGGCCGACGAGCCCATCAGCACGTTTGCAAACAATAGACTATGTCACTATTGTCATAGACAAAGTTTGTGAGCTTGACTTTTCATAACCTCTGTAGTGTGATCGGGAACTATAGGTATATTTTGGTAGGAGATTTTACGATTATATTTTTTTGGGATACTATCTAATATATAAAATTCTCGTGTCACAGTTTTCGATGCAATACTCCTCCGAAACGGCTTGACAGATTTTGATGAAATTTTTTGTGCTTAATGCATTTGTGCCCCCTAAATGTTAGGGGTAGTCCACCCCTAAATTTTTATATGGCAAAACAACGTTTGCCGGTTCAGCTAGTTAGACATATAATTTGAGATGACTGCCTCATTGACCGAGTGGTCGCAAGTGCGACTGCCGGGCAAAAGGGTCTCGGGTTCGATTCCCGGGTCGGGCAAAGTATTACTGGGTTTCTTAAAAATCCCAGTAGTAGCTCGGAGTCTAGAATAGTGCACGGTATATGGCAATAGGCTCACCCCCTATTACATGGGACTCATAACACAAATAGTGAAAAGTGGGTGTTATTGTACAGTGGCATTAAGTGGCCGTAATGCGCACCTCTGCCTACCCCCTCGGGAAAGAAAAGCGTGATGTTATGTTATGTTATGTTATAATATGAGATCTGTTAATACCGCTACCAGTTTTTAAACTTTGTACGTGGCAATGAAATTGCAATTTGAAAAGTTACTTCTTTATGCGAGTATTTTCTTGACGTGAATTGAGATGTGAGAGTGAGTTGTATTAAATCAAAGTCAAAGTCAAAGTCAAAGCATTCATTTCAATTAAACCATAATTTGGTACTTTTGAAAAGTCAACAAAATAAATAATAGTTGTCAGTCAGTCCTTCACTGAAGCTAGGTGAAGCTAGGAAAATAAATAAATTATGAAAGGGTTATTGATAAACGTATTAATTAATTATATTATGTATAGTAAAATATGAAACTTTACGTTAACTTTAAGTTTGATTCTAAAACCAGAAAGTAGACTGCAGCTTTTAATAAATGAACAATATATAGAACATTGGTTTGTTCGTTGCATAAGCAGCTAAGTAGGTACATAAAGCCATCAATTTACAATTTATTGGGTACAGGTGAAACTCAGTAATATGGGTCATGCAATAGTAGGTATTAAACCCCTTTAGAAGATAACACATAATGTGATGATAACCACTAAGATCGGCCATATTGACTAATTTACCTACAGTAGTTTATGTTGTATGTATGTACGTATGTATGTACATTTCAGCAGTTTATGAAACATGTAATCTTATACAATATCTACTATTATCGAACCTGACGATTAGCAGCCAAGTAATTGTTTGCGCAACACAATTTAATTGATTTTCACGCATTTTTACCGCAGCCGGTAATCGAACCGGCGTCCATTAACGTTGCTATCATGTTGCGAAACTTCCGATAAGTGTTCGGGAAATAACTACCTATGTGGTTTGTTGCTTTTAGTGTGAGTAGAGTTCACTCTCTATTATAGCTTGGTTTTGCTTGATGGATTAAATAAAAATGTGTTTTATACAATAATACAATATGGTTGTTTCTGGTCGAAGGGATGGAAAATGTACTTTCAGTTAGGAGAACAGGTTTTGTAGTTACTCATGATCGTAGGTCCATAGTGTAGTAGTGAACCTTTTTATTACAAACAGATTTAAGTGTGGGAGAGCCATGCTTCTTCGGCATGAAAGGCCGGCTCGACCGAAGTGATACCACGGCCTCACAGAAAACCGACGTGAAGCAACGCTTGCGTTGTGTTTCGTCGTGTGAGTGAGGTTACCGGAGGCCCAATTACCCTCCCCTTCCCCAATCAACAACGAGTACCTACAATTTAAGTTCTTACGGAGCCGTGGAGGACTTAACGGGTTGCCAGGGTCCGGCTCGAAGAGCAGAAGTCGAAACGGGGTGGTTTTTTGTCAGCAAGAGTCTGACACTCCCTCTCGCCTCACCTAAGGCGAGAAAAGTCATTCAATGATTTTCCCCCATAAAAAAGCAGAATAACTAAATTGTAGCTAAGTTGGAACTGGATTATCATAACAAGTGACCGAGCAAAACAACTGCATGAGACATTTCAGCACCTGAGTCACTCAGTTTTTGTAAAAGACTGAACACTTTATAATATTTTGGTAAAAACGTGTGAAGTTACTTCAATAACTATATTTTTCACACAAAAGTTTTTGTTAAGCGGGCCGTGTGTCGTATTATATTATGTCGTGTTCGTTTTGTCCGTTCTTTAGTTGGTTACTGAGATGAGAGAAAGATTTTTCAATCGTATTTAATTATTTATGTCTGAAAAATTAAGAATATTAGAAATAAGTATGCTGTTTGCTGTTCGTTCGCTAAAAAAACGTGTCGTCACAATACACAATCTCGTACTAAATTCATAGGAAACTGTCTTTTTTGACAGTTCGAAAAAAGTATTGTATTTGACTAGTTG